TTAGGCTGAGAAAGACAGCGAGATTGTCACTTGTATACATCCCATGAATATTTAGTGTGAAGTAACTGTGTGGATCCCTGAGGGCTTGGGAAAACGATTCCATTTGAATTTCTGCATTACAAGGTTTTCTTCTAAACCCAGTAAATGAATAATTAAAACAGTGATTCTAGGTAAGAATTGTGACTGTTGTTTGCAGACAGGATCAATAAGTGGATATTGGGGTTGAGTGTTTTAAGTTACGTAAGAGGGTTCACTACCGATCCTAGTGACTGGCTTGACACTAATGAAACATGTAGTGAACCAGAAAATGTATATGTATATGAAAATGTATATTCTTTGGGTCACACTTGGGTGTTAGTTCTATGGTTACATGTCACAAAGTGACCACTAGTGGAATGCTAGTAATCTGTTGGTTCTATCAATTTAGAATTCATCGTTCAGAGATGTTTTGGATAAAATTCTACATTATAGCGAATACATTGCATTTGCTATACAGCATATTTTATATCTGTTTCTCCCAAATCTTAAAGGGACACTGTAAATCATTTCTAAGGGATTAGATAAAGAACTTTGGATGTCACCTGGAGACTAAAGGCCAAATAACCACTACATGGATCTGTACTGATTATGTTGCGTTAAGGGATCCTTTTAAATTACTACTATCCAATAACACTGCATTTATATAACTTTCACCCAATAACATTGCATTTAAATAACCACCATCCTATAACACTGCATTAATTTAACTGTGTGAGTCACAGCCAGGGGGTGTGTGGCTAGAACTGCATAAACAAAATTATTTACCTCTTAAATGGCACAGCATTGAGCAGTGAGACAACAGGGGCATGATCTTTACACCAAAACTGCTTTATTAAGCTAAACTTGTAAGCCTCTCAACCACAGATCAACTACTACTCATTTCAAAGGTGCATAAGCACAAAGCTTAATACCCGTAATATTTTTAATATTGATTAATAGACTTGTGAACAGTAAATAAAAATTTGGTCTGGCCAAAACTTACGCTGGTCAAGTCAGTATTAGTTTTTGTGCCATTTCGGTTTGGATGAATTTCACCTATGTAAATGTTTCAGGAAAAAAATATTTGGATGAACCAAAAGGTGAGAAAATCGCCAATGGGTGTACTGCAAAATATACATAATATAAATATATATACATAATATAAATATATATATTTTGCAGGTGCTTTTTACCAGTCTTTTGGTTCACAGAACAAGTGAGAAGAAGTAAAATCTATTTTTATATATTTTGTACTTGTTAAAAATATAAACAATCCTACAAAAGAAAAACTAGTTATAATATTAAGGTGCTTCTAAAATAACTACTAATCAGTGTATTAAAAAAAAGAAAGAAATCTGGACTACATCAGCTGCTCCATGTGTGCTCGACATATACACCAAAACCAGATACAAATTATTGAATAGTGGAGCGCTTAAAAACTCTCTAGTCTGTAAAAAAACAAACAAATGCAGTGACAAAAAAACTATAGTGAACCCTCTTCTAAAGTGCAATCATACTCTCAAACTCCAATAGTGTAAGCAATTCTAATGCTAAAGTGCATACATCTCTTAAAGTGCAAAAGTGCGTATCACATGACCCAACATACAGAGCACATCATAACATAAATATACTATACTATACATGTGCAAAAAACACAACAAAATGTGTCATATCAAATACAAGTGCAACCATTTAAAGACAGCAACCTAAATGTCTCAATATTTTATGTGCAAGAAATCAAGCAATGTGCAACAATCACAAGATGATGTGGTATAATAAATAAATATAATACCCTTTACGTGTAATCCTCTTAATTGGTAAATATACCTCAAAGTGTAAACAAAGGATTTATTAAAAATATAATATATGAACAGGTCTCAAAAACCTGACCTACTAGACAGTTTTTAAAGGATTACTCCCACCACCATAACCACTTCAGTTATTTATAGAAGTTACGGTGTTAGGAGTCTGGATGTGAAGTGTTTCTGCTTGAAACACTGCACATCCAAAAAAGGAGGCCGGAAAAGAGGAGGAAGGAAAAGGCGGAGGTATCGCAAGATACTAAAGACTTTGGGAATTGGCTTAGGGCTTTTGTATCCTAGTAGGCGTAATCGGGGTAAGGTGCCCGGTTCCTGATGATTGGGCAGGAAATGCGCTCTTTCCAGGGGCTGCCAGCGCGCCCCTAGGAGGTGAGGTGCTGGCCGGACAGAAGAAAGGTCAATGCAACTGGGGACCGTCGGGTAGGCTTGGATACGGGTGTTCCGGAGGCGGTGGGAGTCACGGTGTCAACTGATGTGTCAAGAAAGGAAAACCTAAGGCAGGAGGGGTACTCGCCGGGGCTTCAGCCCCGCATTTGTGGCTCGGAGCGGCACTGGTGACGATCAGTGCGTTCCTGCCGTGGCTAAGGCAGTAAGCCTCCCATGAAGGCGCTAGTTTTATGGCTGGGATTGTTGTTGTTTTTTTCGCTATTCCATTCAAAGTCGAGGGGCCAGGAAAAGTGGTGGGCGAATATCAAGTCCGTGGGGGAACATCTGGGATTGGTTCGCGAGTGGTCACGCGAGGAAGCCCAATTGGGGGATGGCGGGTCCGTTACATCCCAGCCATTAGCAGATCTGTGGGCATCTCTGTGGGGGGTGGTCCCCTAGAAAGGGACAGGCAAATTCCGTCTGATACAAAACTTATCGCACCCGAAAGGGGCATCGGTAAATGAGGACATCGACGCGGACCTGTTCTGTATCTTAGGCATCATTCGGCCTTGCCGTCGAGTTGGTTTGAGGGAGCGGGACGCGTTTGATTATTGGCGACCCTTCCATCTTTTGGGTTGCATGTTTGCAGGTGCTTATTGGTAACCTATGCTTTCCATTTCATGTTCCTACTTCGAGAAGTTGGTTCCGTCTGGGAGTGGGTGGAAAGAGGAATCAGGAAGGGGTTCCTTAGTACATTATCTGGAAGATAGCTTGCTGGGCCGTTGTGGACATACCTTACAGTCGCGGGAATCCTACCACACATCTTTGCTTGGGCTGGAAATTGTTTCAGTGGTAGGATAGTGTCGATTGCCTAGGGATCAGTTGACTGCACTTCGGGAGTTCAGGGCGAAGGTTCGCAGGTCCAAGAAGGTCACGCTGAGAAATCGCAGTTGTTCATAACGCAGTTTCAAGTTTGCATGTCGAGTTAGTCGCGAGGGATTGGTCTGTAGCCGTTTCATGGTGAAGGCTACTTCTGGAGCCTTTGCGGGTGGTATCGAGTTGTTCACGGATGCCTCTAGGAACATAGATTCCGGGGCATACCTGGAAGGCAGGTGAGTTATTTTCATTGGGAGTGGCCGTGGCTCTAAAAGATGAAGGATTAAGGGACGAAAAGTCTTAATTCACGGACAATACGACGGGGTTCATGCGGTTTACCATCCAGCCGGGTCCTCGGTTCAGGAGGTATGCTGATGGCGGCAATTCATATCAATGTGCAGGTCGTTTAATATCGGGTGTGGGCACGCCACGAGCCTGGTTGGCGGAAGGTAGGGGCTGATTACTCGGCTCGCGTACAAGGGGACAAGCTGCAAATGGTGGCCCCAGGGGGCGTGGGAGGAGGGACAGGCCGGTCTGGAGGAAATGTGGCAGCTCGAGACGCCATGCTTGGAGGATCGATAGGGAATCCTATGGCACTGGGCACGGGGACTGCCTATGTGAAGGTTTGGGATATGTGGGACGAGGCGGTTGGTTTCACTGGGGGGGGTCACAGTCAAAGGAGGGGCAAGGGATACCTTGCTGTGGTTCCTAAGCCGCATATTTGTTCAGCGTTAGCTCCATCGGCAATGGACAGGAGCATGGTGGCATTGGCGTTAGGGTTCAAACTGACCGATTGGGAGGAAGTGACGGAACGTTGTCACGTCCGTCAGGCATCGCGGGTCTTACGGAGAGGTTTGAAATATGTCGGTGCCGGGCGGCTGGTTTCCTTGGGTAACGCAACGCCTGGTGGGCGTGCTGAGGGTGGTGTGTTACTCTACTTTTGCGGTGAGTTTGTTTGCGGTGGCCTTCTCGGGGGCTTGGGGCAATTCGGATTGGGGAGCTGGTGAGTGCCTTTCGGGTGGTTGTTGGGGGGGTTCTACACTCGGTTGTCGAACCTCAGTCGGTTAAGGTAACGATTCGGTAGGGTTGTACAAGAACGGATGTGTCTGTAAAGGAGGTTTGGTAAAGCTATATTCCCTGCCGGGGTCAGGGGTATGCCCGGCATCAAGCGCATCACGCTACTTGGAGCATCGCCCGGACATCCCGGGTTGGCTTACTGCTAAAAGGGGACGGATCGGCGCTGTCACGATTCAATTCCTGCAGGGGTTTGTTCAGAGGGGTTTGACAATGTTGGGTTTGGATCCCAGGCACTTTGGGGCCCATTCTTCCCGGATAATGGCGGCGACAGAGGCGTCCCGTCTGGTTTTAAGTGAGGACCTGGGGAAACATTTAGGCAGGTGGGAGTCAGTACGGTTTAAGTCCTGTTTACGGCCAGTCTATTTGGTTTAATGGCTATGGACGTATGGGTTTGTGTTGGGGGCTATGCCTAGTCGCTAATTACTTTAGTTTCAGGTTTGGTGACATGGTTGGTGGGCCACTCTTACATCTAAGGGGCGCAGAAGGGAGCCGCGGTTCAGGTCAAGCGCAACTGGGCTTTCCTTTGGGATTGGTGGAGCTGGAGTGGTTTTGGTTTTCGGGGGTTTTGGTGGCAAGGCATTAGTGGAGAAAATTTTCCAGAAGATAACAAGGGGTACTGTCCAGGACATTCTGGTAATCCGCGAGGGCGGGAAGGATATCGGCATGGTCCCGGAAAAGGAATTGATCAGGTGGTGGCAGAGGGATGTGGACCGGCTATGGGAGCGGGCCACAGGTGTGGTGGTGGTGCGGTCCGAGATGGTTCATCGGTTACATTGGAGACATATTAGGTACCCGGCCGCAGTGGCTCGTGTCGAAGACGGATTAATAAAAAATTGATGGCGGTATTTATCGGATGTGGGGGCGGTGAAACAGTGAGACACAACGAATTGGGAGGCAAGCTCCCTGGGTACTCCAAGGGGGATGGGGTACGTTTTCGGATCTGTTTAATTTGGGCCTTTAGGAAGGCATTCAGGCCTTATTCCGGTGTGGTGAGGGTCGCTCAGGAGCTTTAGGTTTAGTGTGGATAGGTTTGAGCCCGTCGGTGGCTCCGAACCTGGGGAGTGTGGTGGTGTCTTGGTACACCCTACACTGGAACTGGTGGGTAGTGGTGTCTTGGTACACCCCTACAAGGATATGGTGGGTAGCGGTGTCTTGGTACACCCCTACAATCGATATTGTGGGTAGTGGTGTCTCGGTGCACCCCTACAATTTAACCTGGTGGAAATGTGGTCATATTGGGCGGCCAGTTTCTGTATTAACATGTTATTTAGATTGTTATCTATTGTTATTATTGTGGAGTCATTGCTAGGGGTATGTTATATATATGGGAGGATGTTAACTTTAATATTAAGATTTGTTGGCAATGACTCCATTTGTTATTCCTTACTTATTTTATTAATAATTTAATAAAGCTGTGGACTAATTATTTCCAACAGGATAACCTGTGTCCGTGTTTTAATGGGGGTTTGGGTAAGGTTAGCGCATATATGCCAGCAAATCCGACTGTGCGCCTGTCATGTAGCCCATGGATCATCGCAGCTAAGAGGAATAGGCCTTGACAGAGCCAGGAGGTAGGCATAGCAGCCACAGGAAGTTAGTGACAGCTAGCATGCTGGGTAGGACGGAGCCATAAGGGGAGTATTTATACCAGCCATTATATGAAGTGGCCATTTTAACTGATGTGGGGGCGGTGAAACAGTGAGACACAACGAATTTGGAGGCAAGCTCCCTGGGTAGTCCAGGGGGGATGGGGTACGTTTTCAGGTGTAAGGTGTGATCTGTTTAATTTAGGCCTTTAGGAAGGCATTCAACAGGCCTTATTCCGGTGTGGTGGGGGTCGTTCAGGAGCTTTAGGTGTTAAGTCCTGAGCTGTGGCGTGAAATGGCCTGGTTAAATCGGAGGGTAGATGGAAGAGAAAGTGGGTATCCTGAGGTTTAGTGTGGATTGGGCAGTGTTGCACGTGGTTGATAGGTTTGAGCGCGTCGGTGGCTCCGAACCTGGGGGTGTGGTGGTGTCTTGGTACACCCTACACTGGAACTAGTGGGTAGCGGTGTCATGGTACACCCATACAATGAATGTGGTGGGTAGCGGTGTCTTGGTACACCCCTACAATCGATATGGTGCGTAGCGGTGTCTCGGAACACCCCTAGAATTTAACCTGGTGGAAATGTGGTCATATTGGGCGGCCAGTTTCTGTATTAACATGTTATTTAGATTGTTATCTGTTGTTATTATTGTGGGGTCATTGCTAGGGGTATGTTATGTATATGGGGGGATGTTAACTTTAATAATAAGATTTGTTGGCAATGACCCCATTTGTTATTCCTTAATTATTTTATTAATAATTTAATAAAGCTGTGGACTAATTATTTCCAAAAGGATAACCTGTGTCCGTGTTTTAATGGGGGTTTGGGTAAGGTTAGCGCATATGCCAGCAAATCCGACTGTGCGCCTGTCATGTAGCCCATGGATCATCGCAGCTAAGAGGAATAGGCCTTGACAGAGCCAGGAGGTAGGCATAGCAGCCACAGGAAGTTAGTGACAGCTAGCATGCTGGGTAGGACGGAGCCATAAGGGGAGTATTTATACCAGCCATTATATGAAGTGGCCATTTTAACTGATGTGGGGGCGGTGAAACAGTGAGACACAACGAATTTGGAGGCAAGCTCCCTGGGTACTCCAGGGGGGATGGGGTACGTTTTCAGGTGTAAGGTGTGATCTGTTTAATTTAGGCCTTTAGGAAGGCATTCAACAGGCCTTATTCCGGTGTGGTGGGGGTCGTTCAGGAGCTTTAGGTGTTAAGTCCTGAGCTGTGGCGTGAAATGGCCTGGTTAAATCAGAGGGTAGATGGAAGAGAAAGTGGGTATCCTGAGGTTTAGTGTGGATTGGGCAGTGTTGCACGTGGTTGATAGGTTTGAGCCCGTCGGTGGCTCCGAACCTGGGGGTGTGGTGGTGTCTTGGTACACCCTACACTGGAACTGGTGGGTAGCGGTGTCTTGGTACACCCCTACAATGGATATGGTGGTTAGCGGTGTCTCGGTACACCCCTACAATTTAACCTGGTGGAAATGTGGTCAAATTGGGCGGCCAGGTTCTGTATTAACATGTTATTTAGATTGTTATCTATTGTTATTATTGTGGGGTCATTGCGAGGGGTATGTTATGTATATGGGGGGATGTTAACTTTAATAATAAGATTTGTTGGCAATGACCCCATTTGTTATTCCTTAATTATTTTATTAATAATTTAATAAAGCTGTGGACTAATTATTTCCAAAAGGATAACCTGTGTCCGTGTTTTAATGGCGGTTTGGGTAAGGTTAGCGCATATGCCGGCAAATCCGACTGTGCGCCTGTCATGGTGTGTCTGTGCAGCTCTCGCACAGCCATTCTGGATGATGTGCAGTGTGCACAGATATACTGCTCCTCCTTTTCTTACATCTAATGGTCACTTCGCATGTGAACTGTGAATAAAATCAACATTTAGTGGCTATTCCCTAACCATCAATCATGTTTTTTCCCATCAATCATTTCTTCTTTTGGAGTCACAGATAGAACTCCTAATTGGGTCAAAAAATTCCCAGTTCTTCCATTGTCCATTTGGTTTGTTTCGTGATCCATCCATATAGTGTTTTAGATTTACAGAATTCAGCAGAACCGCCGAACGCCCACAATTCGGATAAGCACAAGTGTACTCATTAATACAGTTTTAAACATCACATTCGCAAACTTCAGTAGAATGCAAGAGGCTGCTGTTAACGGCTTTTTACAGTTTTCAGCCACAGTTTTGAATATAACTGAGATGATCACAAAAAAATGCATATTTCTAAGCACCCAACAAAAAACCTTGAGAATAAAATCTCTAAAATAATCTTTTCTCTCCATACCCTGCACAGTGACCCAAGTCGCATAGACGTTAATTCACTAAACCGGAAAAGTCAGGGACTAACTACAGAATTTAAAACGTAAGGCTAAAATAGTCAAACAGGAAAAATTCTCCATATCATCGATCTTTTCATCTGTTATTTTGGCTTAAAGATCCAATGTCATCAAGGTCATCTCCCAGTGTAAATCACACTTTAGTGAATAAGCCTACCTGTGTTTTCTGTGGCAAATATACCCAGTACACTTTCAGAAACGCTTATGGAGTTAGTCACTTAAGTGAGAGAATCGTGGTGTGCAGGGCCGGTGCAAAGAATTTTGGGTACATAGGCGAAGATGCATTTTCCCGCCCCCCCCCAAAAACATCTTCACCCATGTGCCTCTTAACCTCCCTTTTGTGTTTCTTATCCCGTCTTTTAAATATCTGACTCCCTTTAGTGTATTTTATCTACTATTTTTGCCTTTGTGTGTCTCCTATCTCTCCTCTTTGTATGACTCTTACATCCTCCCACATTTTGTGTCTTACTCCTCCCAGCCCCTTTGTGTGACTCCTTTTCTCCCAGCCCATTTGTGTCTTTTATTCTTCCCAGCTCCTTTGTTTGTGTCTCTTTCCTTCTCAAGCCCCGCTGTGTGTTTCTTTCACATCCGGCCCCTCTCCCCGTCCCTTAATGGTCCCCTCCCTTCTCTGACCCTTATTGTTCCTTTCCCTTCCCGCCTCCTTTCCCTGTCCCTTAGTGTTCCTCTCCCCTCCCCCATCTGTTGGCTGTCGCTTAGTGTTCCTCTCCCCCCCTCCCTCTTTTTCCTGTACCTTAGGGTATCTCTCCCCTCCTCTCCCTGTCCCTTGGTGCGCCACCCACCCCCATAGTGGTCCCCTCCCCTTCCTGGTGTGCCTCCTACCTTTTTTTGTGGCGTGGCTGAGCGGAGCGAATCCCGGTACAGTGAGCTTTTCCTGTAAGTTCTGCCAGGTACAGGAAACAGAAGTTCCTGTACCACGGTACACTCCGCTTGCCGACTCTACAGTCAGGGGTGTATAAACACTGACAGTCACACACACTCAATGACAAACACACAGACATCTCTGACAGCCAGACTCACTTATCTGACACACTCATTCATTGACAGACACTCACACGCACACTGACAGACTCATTGAAAAACACACACTGACACACACACACACAAACTCACAGACACTGACAGACACATGTACTCACATGCACACATGCACACATGCACATACTGACAGACACACATACTCACACACACACTGACAGAACCACACACACACACAAACTCACAGACACACACACTCACACACACATACTCACATGCACACACACACTGACAGACACACATACTCACACACACACACTGACAGACACACATACTCACACACACACTGACAGACACACATACTCACACACACACTGACAGACATACTCACATGCACACACACACACTGACAGACACACATACTCACACACACACTGACAGACACACATACTCACACACACACTGACAGACATACTCACATGCACACACACACACTGACAGACACACATACTCACACACACACTGACAGACACACATACTCACACACACACTGACAGACACACATACTCACATGTACACACACACACAGAAATTAATAATCTTAATTAAATTAAAATTTCCCACCCAGCCTCCCTACCTGGAGAGCTGGCGTGGGTCTCTCATTGGTGGTCCAGTGGGGCTGCTGGGAGGCAATTGGATGCCGAGGTGGCGAGGGAGCTCTGATCTCTCTGATCTGCTCCCTCGCAGGCTGCTGACTGATGCCGCGGGAGCCGGAATATGACGTCATCAGTAAACAGCCTGCGAGGGAGCAGATCAGAGAGATCAGAGCTCCCTCGCCACCCAATTCAGCCGCACGCCGCGCCGGGGATCCAGGAGGTGACCTGGCAGGAGGGAGCACTTCCCTCCTGCCGGTCACTGGAATTTTGCGCCCCCAGAGCCGGTGCGCCCTAAGGCGGCCGCCTGTGCCGCCTTATGGACGCGCCGGCCCTGGTGGTGTGAATATTTAAATTAAAACAAATTTTCCGACAAAACAGCTGAACTGGAGAATATAGCTGAGTGGGCTGGTTTGGATGGGAAATGTGCAGGGGAAAGTAACCTTCGGCACTTCAGATGTTTTAGATTATGGCTGTAAAAGCATTATGGAAGATGTAGTCCAAAACATCTGGAGTGCCGAATGTTGCCAACCACTCTGCCAATTCTCTTCCATTTACAGTTTAATGAATAAAGTATAAATGTTTAAAGCACTGGATTGCTTAGGAAACCTAGCACACTTTGGTGTGAATCTAAAATGACAACTTTCCAGTTCTTTGTCTTAACTCAACATGACAATATACAAATAGATAAATTTGACAGTCCGATGCTGAATGTTCTAAATTGTACTAATCTACATAATCAATTTTAACACATCATCAAATGCGATGACAGGTTGCTTTTCTGTATTATGCATGTAAAAATGCATTTTTATTTTCTATTTTCTTTCCTCATTATCCTCCATTTATGCTTTTTCGATGCAATTGTCATGATTCTCCCCATCTTCTCACTGGTAATATCTTTAACTTATATAAAAAGTTTATCAATTGTGTTATGTAACCTTTCTGTCCGCATATCTTGATGCTTGTTCGTAAGAGTAGCTTTCTGTATTATTCTAAAAAAGTTTGTCTAAAATTAAAAATGTAAAATATTTCTCAAATGCACAATAACTGATATATTTTTTTAAAAAATGATTTAATTATCTCTTGTTAATAGATTTATTTGTTCTAATTATTTCATGGGGTTATTCACTAAAGTGTAAAAAAAATATCTAATTATAGGCCTAAATAGCAGAACTGAAAACATAACTGACTTGGAGAAATGTTCTAATTCAGCTGTTGTGGTCTTAAATTTGAAATTCACTTTGAGTTCACTCTGAATCCCCACCAAGTCCCTTTTAGTGAATAATTCATTCTGAAACAGTATTTATCTAATTCTTAGTTCTGACAGGCCCTTTTTATATGTAATATACCCTTTACAGCTAATATATAACATTACCCTATTGGGAATTTTACTAAAATGTGTGCAAACATATTTTTTTCTACATATATCCAAACTGTTCTGAAGAGCTTACAATCTATCTCTGAAACGAGAAAAGGTTAAATTGTGTCACTTGTTTAGCTGGTTCCTCTCCTGGCACAGATCACTATCTTACAAACAGTTTATCTTAGAAATAGTCTTCCTAGACTGCGCTATAATGCACTATAATTCTGCAGAACTGATCACTGCTGATAGCCGGAACCTTGAACACCGTGTAACAGTGAGTGCTGATACCAAGCACAGCCAGAAAAAGGATGGAGAGATACAATCTGATTCCACTCTCTGCAGGGAACCGGATACATGACTTCATAATGTATCTTACACTGTGTATCTTTCAAACGTGAGGACTGCTCCCCCTTATCTAAAGATCGTGATGTAAAGGGGAAGCAGCTTGGTGACTTTTTGTGCCACTGCAGCTGCAAGCACTGAACTTCTTCTGAGAAACTTTGATTTAAGACTCCACAAAACTGCTTACTGATAGAGCAAGTGTTTCAGATGAGCACACTGAATGTCCAATGCATTGTTAATTCACACAGGAAATATAGATGTGGCCCCCCATTCAAACAAAGAATCTATATTTGCCAAGAGTCCTGAATTTAACGAACAGTCCTAATTTGGGGACACCTGAAAGTTCCCATAATGTGCACCAGGAATTCATCTAGTTAATTCCAGGCCATTAGGTCATTTTTGCACAATAGAGGACTGCTTGTCAACCAGATATATATATATATATATATATATATATATATATATATATATGCATTCCACTATGGCCTATCCAGGCACCTGCCTTGCCACCCTTAAGCCCTACTGACAGGATTTTCGCCAATGTTGGCAAGTTTAAAATCTCTCCCAATATCGTCAAGAATCCTAGAACATTTCTAGAGACTACAAAATTGGAGTAAAAATCCTATACGCTCCCAGCTGTGTCTATACACCCATGTACAATTCAAGCAGAAGACACAGTCAAACTGTTACAAATGATCTCCTCAGCCACAGACAGAGGGCTATCCCTGGGCAGTCTATTTAATATGTAGAAGTATTCCACTGGCGCACAGTATACGCTGACAACTTCCTTCCTTTGTCATTTCACTTACAGAATGCCAATAATGTTAGTGGCCAGTGGGAATTGGCATATTTACTGTAACTTGGGAATCCTCAGCATTTTGGGACATTTTATCAGTTTCGCTGACTTTCTAAGAGCAATGTAGGGCTCTGATTGTATGAGAGTGAGACCAAATGAAGAATAAGATTTTCTTATTGATCTGGCCATAATGTGATTCTTCTCTGTCTGTTAAACATGATTGTTTCCTTGGGAATAGGCATCTTGGAGCTGTGAGAGACAGTTTAATTAGCAGGATGCCACACCGACACATTGCAGCCTGCACTCAATTCAGGGTGATAATAACCTCATAGAGTTAACAGGATGAAATTGAATACATTAAATTCTAAAGGACGGGATATTAATACATCACATTAACCAATGTAATCATTGCGGGAGAGGAACATACATTGCTGGGGTCCTCATTACAGGAGAGGGCCTTTCTCAGCAAGGCAATATAACTAATTCAATAATTAGCTTTAATCAGTCCATTGCCAGAGGAACCGACCTTCATTCTGAGTTATCTCTGTATATGTAGCTTTGATGTCACAAGTTCATTCAAGAGGTTAATGATAACCAAAACCACAACCTGGTGGGGGTAGATCAAGTTCAGAACCCCTTATATTAAATCATTAGGATGAAATTACTCATAATTTAACACTCCAACATAAAATGCAGTGCCGTCCAATGGGAAAATAACACTTAGACATTATTTAGGGTCAAGAGGAGCTAAGGGCCCAATTTATATAAACCTACACCATAAACAGACTATATGCAAGGCATACTTTCTGGAAGATGTTGTACAATACATTATATGACATATATAGTAGCTGTAGAGCAGGAATGTATAATAAGGTTAGAGAAGACAGTAGAACGATGGATAGCCAGATGTACACGCTCTATCTTACTATACTTATTCAGTCTGTACATTTTCTGTAGACGAAGAAGATATAATAAGGTTAGAGTAGATGGATTGCAGGATGTACACTTTGTATCTAACTATACTTATTATTTAACCTATACAGTTTCTGTAGAGGAAGATGTAATTGCATTAGAAGAGACAGTAAAAGATAGGTTGCCAGGAGTACAGTGTGTATCTAACTATATATAATTTATATTCATTATATGACATATATAGTAGCTGTACAGTAACGTGATGTCATAGTGTTCTAGAACAGACAGGAGTAGAGGATAGATTGCCTGGGGTACATTGTGTTTCTAATTGAACATATCAGTTGTACACAATGTATGGCATATACAATTTCTGAAGAGTAAGACGGTACAGAGCAGACTGTGTGTGAGGATAGATTACAAATTGTACAGTCTATTTTATTTATATAGGTAATGTAATATGGTTAGAGCATTCTGTGGGATTATAGATTGCAAGTGTATATTCTCTGCATCAAACTATTTACATCATTTCTGTACATCATATGATATATATTTATATAGTAGCTGTAGAGGGAGGTGATATAATAGGGTTATAGGTTGCAGGTGTTCAGTCTGTATCTCTGTCTAATTTGTATACATTATATGACATATGTAGTAGCCGCAGAGTAAGAGATGTAATACGGTTACTTAGAGCAGACAGTGAGATGATAAATTGAGTTAGGTCAGACAGAGCAGATGGCTGTAGGTTAATAGATTAGAACACTTTCCTAAAGTAGTGATTTTTCTTTAAAGGTCTGGACAAGATAGGAAAGTCTCTGAGTGCGTGGAAGGTATTCCTTAGAAATGATATCAGGTGGTTGAAATAAAGTCAAAAGATAATTGAATGGGTAAAAGAGGTGGATGGAATATGCATTGATGTACTATTTTAGATATTTATTTTTAAAACAGAATAGGCAATGTATTGTATATGATAATATATTCATTTTATAGTTTGGTTTCTTGCCTCTAGAATATATGTAAATACTAGCTTTGAAATATATTGATTCAAAGTGTCCATTATACTATATGAAAGATATAGACTACAGTGTACCCAGCAATAAAAATAGCAAATAAATAAAATACACAGCTTCAAGCAAAACTATACTAGGGCCCTCTTGCTTTACTGTTGAGAAGATCTTGAGTATAGGATGTCTTCTGACTCCCTCACCTGGCTAGATCTCCCATTAACCATATCACCTTCCTGCTGGTGCTGAGACTAGAACTAAGGCTGGTGCTGGGTCTGGGACTTTTGGTCACTCACCCATTAAAACACCATTCACATTGAGCCCATTTTGGCAGCTGAATTTCGCCCCCTTCTCATAGTGAATTTGTAACGCTAATAGATGCAAGATGTATTAATAACTCATTTTCTATAGGGGCAGTCTCTATTGTAGCAAGTGTGCAATAACTGAAATACTATTTAGTTACCGTGCATGTTTGTATATGTTATATTACTGATCGCATTATTAT